CATTATTAATAATTTGTTAGTTATGGGACACGATGAAAAAATGTGTTAAAAAGATAGGTGGCTATCTGTGTTCTTCATAGGAAAATTCTTCAAATTCTTCAAAGCGAGATGAAACCCTCGTTTTCTTTCCAGTGAGTTCAACGATGTGTGTTCTTCACAGTAAAAAACCTAAAAAATAATGGATTTCTTTAATATCCTTCTTTGTAATGTGGTACTGATAAATAATGGAGTTTGGGGTAGATATTGTGAACACTGTTTAAATTTGAAAATTGTATCCTCAAATCATGCAAACTCCAACTCCAATGGTGGAGAAGACAGAACATTTGTTGTCGCTTAGTTATGTTTACACTGGTTTCCTTTGTCATGGAAGGAACTCTTCAACTTCAAAAAATCATTTTGGACTTTAACTATAGTGAGCGGACTTCTTTACAAATATTTTAAAAAAGTATATTTTTTCCTAATAAGTCTTATATTATTTACCGGCCCAATTTCCCTTTTATTATCCAAATTCAAACAAGAATATTAGTTTATTACGTTTTGAAGATTGTGGAGGAGGGTTGAGAATGCCTAGGTCGTGGTCCAACATACTGACATATTGCACACAGGTAAATTTGTCACTTGTGTTTCATGAAATAGGCTCGTGTCGAGTTTTAGTGAGTTTATATCAAAAAGAATATTTTATTTATATCTAATTTATTTATTAATTCATGTTTAACGAATCATATTATATCAAGTTCGTTTCATGTATAAATCGTGTATAACTAATATAAAAACAAGTCATATTGCATATTTTTTTAATTGATTTCACTCTTATCCGATTCGTCTATCAATCATGTCATATGATCCACTCATTTACAAAATAGATAACATAAAAAGTAAAAAAAAACTCAAACTATCTAATCTAAAAAAAAACTCAAACTATCTAATTCTATGTCATGTTGGTCTCATATTTTAACACCCAACCCCACAAGCACCACATGATGAGCCTTACTACCTATTTGCCTTTGAAACAAATTGGCCGAAAATAATCCTGGTTTTATCCCAATGACAATGTCACTTTTGAAGACATTTTTTATTTTTGAACACGCACTTTTGACGACATTGACCAAGCAATTTTACATACAAACAGATTATTTATCGAACACAACATAATTTACCAAGGCTAAAGGATCAATTTTGCCAACAGACCTCAGAACGAAATTTCAGGTTCGGCAAAGGGAAAGAGGTTAAACCCACTCAATTTGGGCACCAGTTTTGACACGAGACAATGTTTCCCACCCAGAATGTAGTTTTTCAACAATGTTATTTATACCTAATTGTAAATCTAATTAAGAACCTAACACATTGTGATCTTTGAATCAATGTTTTACTTCACAATGTTGGAACCTACTGTAATCCAATGGCCACAAATGTAGTAGATCCCCAAATTATATTCAATGGTCCAATTGACACTTCCTGTACAGCAAAAAGTAACAAAAAAAAGCTGATTTTTTGAGACCCACAAAGTGATGTGTAGAGTGCGCATGCATTTGGGATATAAAATTTGAGTTTTGATTTGGACATCATAACAATGCTCGGAGGACAAAGGGGAGAACGGGGAAAAAAAAATAATTTTATAGCCTCAATTCATATATATATCCTAAAAGCATCGCAACTTGTGGATGCTCTGCTGCAAGGCAAGACATCATTTGACATCCTCAAATGCCAGCACAATCATAATCGGCTGCAGGTCTAATATCATCACTTTCTGTAGTCTGAGGGTCCAACTTCGACAAGCTTGTTCTCATCCTTAAACACAACTTGCAAATTGGCTCTTACTAGCGTGCTGTATGCTTCTCATTTCATTTTGATTCAGCTGAACGGTTCAATTTTTACGCATTTTATCAGGTGAGAGTTCGAGTTCAACACGCTTGATTTCATCTTTCAACATTTGCAAAGTGCCACTTCTACCTTGATCCATCCCCTTGGTACTCATCAGACTAGAAAGATGCTTCAGACACGATAGATATTCAAACTTCACTTCAGGAGAATCGGACAATGATCTCTCACTTGCAAACTGCACAGAAATGAAAGTACATAACTTGATAAACTGTCTATATCCATCTTTGTTCATAAATGAATGCAAATCAAAATTACTATACCCACTGATTTTGTAATTTTCTACCACTTTACCTTTTGGCCAATATATCCGTATGTGATTAGAAATTCAGATTGGTCTCATAAAATGGCTAATGTTGGTAAGTTAATGATTTGCTTCGGTATTGTTCCTAGCTACTGAACTCCCAATATAAGTGGTATTACCTCACGATCTTTTGCAAGGCACTAAGAAAAAAATCGTTTCTATTACAATGCAGTGCAGAAAAGAAAAGGTATTTGACAACAGGAATAAAAATTAACCAATTTTGATAGCCCATGTATGATTACATTGAGGTTTTGGGTTTTCAGTTCTGTGATTTGAATGAAAACCACTTTGGCCAATGAAATTTAACCATAAGGAGGTCAAAATAGTGATTTCGATAGTTAAATTGCTTACTCCAAATGGTCGTTTCTTGTGGCAATCAAATTGTTTTCAAAAACGCACCTGTTTTATCACCATTTGCTAATTTTTCATGTCATTTAACAGCAAACAAGTACATCAGGACTTCCTACGCATTGAGTCCCACTTATTATTCCCAGTTCATAGAACCCAATGGTTTTTCCTTAGACAAACGCTCCTGGCTAAGAACAGATGTAGCATTTCATCCTCTCTCAAACTCATAAGTTCCTTAGGCTAGCTTTGCTTAACCATAGATTCCATTTCCTTTAAGGTCTAGTTTTAAATTTCTCCTGAACCATTAGTGTGCAAAATGGAATAACAAAAAAATTTTAAATAGAAAGATTGTTTCATCTTCAAACTCAAGCTTAATGAAAAATTGGGATCCCAAGTGATGATCACTCAATAGTCTTACTCCCCTCCTTTCTATTCACTCCATTGCTACCCTAACCAGGTAGTAAAACAGAAATCAAGTGCACAAAAGCAGCACTGAAATAACCAAAATAAGAAGCAATCAAAATTATCAAGAGCCTAAAAACACTACATTTTGCTCGCCAATGTTATCAACAGTTTTGCACGAATTTTCTGCAGATAGGGACACTAAAAGGTGGCAACGTTTCATGAATCTTTTTTTTTTTTTTTGGCATATACCTCTTTGAAAGCCAAAATGCACTGATGAAAAGCTTCCTCAGGGTCAAGAACTGGTGTATTTTTCTCCTGCTTTACAACAAAACAAAAAGAACAAAAAATCTAGCAAAGTGAAATACCTTCCTTATAATCAGAGTGAATAAGATGACGAAGGACGAAATGACAAATTCAAAAAAAAATGAGGAAAAAACCACAAATTAGAAATTGATTATAAAAATGGAAAATTTAGTTTTGTGAAATAGTCTCTCGCAAGCAGTGGCAAAGCTGCGTACATTTGACACTCCCACACAGCAAGGAGCTTTGTGCAGTGAGCACCTAATAGAAATTCTATTTTCCTGTTGGGGTGGGAGTGGCGGTTTAATAAATAAAACAAGAACAGGAAGATGCCTATCATTGAAACACAAATGACACAATATTAAAATGACTTGCATCCTAACTGCTAACCTAAGATCTTCGCAGGTACCCTGAAAAATCATTTACTATGGCGCATGTAGCCATCGCAGGTGAAACTCTTGTCACGATTTCCTTACGTCCTCAATAACAAAGGATAAGGTCAAAGGTGTTAGGAAAACCAGCCCAAAAGGTTAAGCTATTAGCTGGAGATGCCCAACCGGTATATGAAGCACACATAAGCCCAGAGAAACTGATTTGGGAAACTTTCCCACTCCCTCCCACATTGCAGACTCCTTAACAAATAGTAGTTAACTTTGTAAGTATAAGTAGCAATGTTGACCTGTTGTGTCATCCCCAAGCACCTAAATGACTGCTAGCAGCACCTGTGAATTTTGCAAATGATCTCTCACACTTCCGTAAATAGATGTAGCAATGACCACAGCAGGGGAGGGAATATTCTCTGCTTTTGACAACTAAGTTTCACTGCTTTAGCTTTGGTAAAGTGTGCCCAGGCACCTAAAAGGACTAAGGCACGTAGATCAAGATATGTGAACTCAAAAACCACTTTGTTTTTTCCAAAGCGAAGCTTTTCTACAGAAATTCAACTAACAAAGGCAGATTCAGGTTCTTTGGAAGCAAAATACATAAGACCTGAAGATTTAGTTAGTGTTTGATCCAGTATTGGCAAAAATTATCCATTCTAAGACTCATTAACTGTCTCATATCGTCTTGTCTGCAGTTGTGTATGAAATGAGCAGTGGTTTCGGTTGTCATACCACAGAATAGAAATCAATTTCTTCCATTTCAAATGGGTGGCCAGAGCTCTTCTGAATGGAAAAGCATTACGAGAGATTATTCAAGTAGCATTTTTGTACTGTTCAGGTACCTTTGCCTTCTAAACTGTATTCTGAACTGGTCCACCATCGTGCGACATAAAAAGTGGGTCCCTTGTCAACCCCAATGTCCAATAGATGTGAAAACACCATTTTTGGACAATATCTGGTCAGGAGAAAACTGGCACAAAAAACTTGTAACTTCGAAAGTTGAATTGATGTCATAATGTGCCCCCTTTTTTGTGCGTGAAAGACAGATCTGCCTATGAGTGCACTCCACAGATAAAAAATGGAGTTAATCAAAACTCATGACTTTGAGAAAAGGACTTTGGTAATGAATGGATAGGAACTAGGAAGAGAAGTCATTTGATCCATATTGACAAGAGCTTCCATCAATCACTGTTCGTTAGTAGAAAAGAGAAATTAGACAGTACCATGAAGCATAACACTGACCTTTGAATCCTGCAGTTCCGCCTTACTGATTTCCAATTGCCCAAGAGCATTAAGTGATTGCAGCTGCAGACATATCTATGACCCATCAATTTCGCCTCAAAATACTCTCACAACCACAATATTAAAAAAATGTCAGCATCCAAAATATAACAAATATCTGTATCCTGCCTTCATTGCCTTAATATCGGACTGCATCAACAACACGTGTATTTTGGCTACAATTTGCTAGCCGAAGAAAATAGTTTGTTGGCCTTTAAACAATTACATATCATAAATAAGCACATGGGATGTTTGCAGGAAATCTAATTTTAAATGCTATGTAATTATGTAATCTCAATTGACAAGGTCCCCAATGACTTCGCTATTTTCCATTACCGATGGATTCATATCAAGAGAAAAGTTATATAGCATAGTGCAATAATAGAAACTTTGCACCATAGTCTTTTGTGGGTACTTTCTATGTGAACAATTAGATCATGATCTAACGGCTACTACTCAAACAAGCCTAAAATCAAATGTTAAAACCTTCCAAACTTTGGCTAGCAATTAAAAAGGAAATCTCAATGCCATTTTAATTATAATACTAATCCTATTAGGAAGGCATATTAAACTTCTTTTGAAATTATATCTTTCAAAATTAACAATTTTTTCCCGACTATTGTCAAGTCTTGTCCAATAAGTCCAGACCCATTTTTGTCTGATATTAATCAATTACTCTTGCATCATCAATTTTCCCACCTCATCTTATTAGGAAAATATATCATTATTATATGATCAAAGTGCATTACTGAAAACTCGTTCTTCTCCCTCTGCGAATTAATCCTTTTGGATTTGAGTTTTAAATGTTTGAAGTTGGCGAGGATTAGTAGTCCAGAGATGTCAATCTAATCAGTTTTGATTGTTTATGCATCATCTACAACTAAAGTAATGTCTTAAAATCATGGTAATGTATATATTGTGTACACTTATTGGAGGGAGGTGCCTTTTTATCTGGGAATGCCTTCTTCTATTGAAGGTGAAAAGGTGAAAGTCTGTCCATCTATAGTTATATTTGATAGCAATTAGTAAGACTTTGTAGAAGAAACATTAACTTCAGAAATCTAAAGATTGGTTATGATATGAATCGGCTGAGTCACTAGGTTGACACGTCCGACAAAGATCTGCCAACAATAAAAAAAATTTCTTAATTTTAAAAGATCAATTTCAAAAAAAATTAATACACTTCCTAATAAGATTAGGATTACAATTGATATGACACTGAAATTGCCTTTTTAGTTAATAGACAAGTATGGTAGGATTTTACATTTAATTTTGGTCTTCTTTGAATTGTGGTCATTACACCATGATCTAACAGTCCACATGAAAAGTACTTACCAGAGACTATGCGACCACAATCTAACGGTCCACATGAAAAATTCTTAGCCAGATACTATGGTGCATAGCTTCCATGATTGCGCTACTATATATGTATGTAAAGTTCTATATAATCCATTGCCATTGTTTTCCCCCATTTTCATGTTCTTTTACACCAGGGCCTATAAGCCACACTCCTATGCTAGATTCACAATGACAAAGCCTCTAAAGTTGGATCCAATTCTTTTTCCCATTATCTTCAGACTTATATAAAAGTGGATACATCCATATCAACAGAAAAATTGTACTGATAACCACTTATTGCATTGGCATAGTATATATTTTCATTTCTTTTACACAGCCTGTAGAACAGTCCTGTGCTAGAATCACAATGACGCCTGATAAGTCGAATCCTCGAAAATTAGACTTCTTGTCCAATGCCTGAGACACTATTTGGCATATTTTTGCTCCAGGCTTGAATGGGATAGGGAAGTGATTTGAGAAGTAAAAAATATATATCATGTGGAGTTAGATAAACAACCCTTGGGGTATGAAATATAAGTACATCCTTTTCGCAGGAATCAGAAGTCTTAATACAAACACTTTAATACGTGTACTACTGGGATATCATGTAGAAATGATACCATAGTTAAAAGACAAAATTCTAAAAAATACATTCAGAAAACTCTCCCTCTGGCCCAAATTTCTAGTCCAAATCTGTCTAGGTGTTTCACAAGTATTGTTCATGATCAAGAGACAATAAGTGATCATTCCTCAGCATCCCGCTGTAATGGTTGTGAGACCACAACAATAAAAAGAAAAAAACTACCTGACCATGAGTAATATCAAGCCCTCATGCAATAAAAGCAAAAATGAAGTATTAAACTATTGTAAAAGCACATGATGCACTTCCCTGAAACCTTGTCCTTATTCATAGTTGGAAATATTTAATGATTTTCTACCGTGAGAGGATTAATAAGAGTAATATGTTATACACCAACTCCACCATACATTTAGTGCAAAAGACAACCCTTGACATCTTTTGACAGAACGGAAAATCACATGCAAGAATTGGAGAGATATTGAAAATAAGTTGAATGTAACCACTGTAGAATCTCCATACTCTTGAACATTAGCCTGTACGATTGATTATCATGAAGTAAACAGAGAACTGGTAACATTGATAGCAGACCAATTTAATAGATTGTTCACAAATAAAGAAAACTGACCAGTATAACTAAAGCTGTATGCCCAGCTTTTCTCATCTCTCTGGATACCCCAATGGATTGCTGATTCCCTTTTTGCTGTGTCATTTTATCCAAAACCTGTTGAGCTATCCTGTCATGGAGAAAATGCTGCATATGATTAAATAAGATATAACACCACAGAAAGATGACAAACTGATCAAGCATTGGCAATGTTGAACTCTTTTCTCTTAACCCTCAAAATTGTCTGAATTGAAAAAATCCTATAGTATTTCATATAACTATATTGTGAATAGCTAGCAGATGAAACAATGGAGCAACATTCATAGATCAATGTTGGGAAGAGTTCAAATTATTTTTTTAAGGAAAAGTCAAGAGATACGGTATAAGATAAAACTACACACATCCATTCGAGTCATTAAAAATTGCAATGTTCTCACGGACTGAACTACTTTCTCAGCTGAAAAACAATAGGGGTCTCTGCAGAATCCAAACACAGTCTTAGTTTAATGCGTTACTGGGCATTAAGTTACACACCTAGCATCCTTATCTAACCTGCCTACAGGAGGCTCCACCAAAAGCCTTCCAATGTCATGATCAAATTAACCCCCTTCGTCAATACAAGTTTGAGGAGCACAATGTTGCGAAGGAAGGTCAACACACGTACCAAATCTTCATCTACTTTAGTGTTAGATCTCCTTCACCTTGGAATCCTTAAAAAGCTGCATTTTAGTGCACACAATCTGGTGCTTGAGTGCTTGGTTGGGTCCAGAACAGGACCCAAAGAAGCTCCCCTAATATGTATGCGGCAAAGACGTATAATGAAAAAACAATAAAGGTATGTGACTTTATTTCTCATCAGAGAAACAGAGAATAACTCAGACCTTATCGCATTGTCTAACAGATCTTTTGACTTGTCAAGATGAACAATCGCTCTAGCAATATTTGTCTTCCTCTGTTGACTGGAAATGAGCATTTCCACTCTGGCAATGTGTAGCATGTTAGCAGCAATCTGTCATCATAGAAAGAAATCAAGCTTAATTAAAATGTATCCTCAATTTTTTCTTTTCATTAAAATCGCAGGAAAACAAGAGATGAGGACCAAACAAAAGAGAATGAAGGTTTCGTCCTTTAATCTTTCACTTTGTACACGATTTAGCTCAACTAGATGTTGACTATTGTTATAAAAATTTAGCAAGAACCACAGCAAACAGCACTGACAACAAAAGCAGATATAATGAGAAAGAAATGTACAAGGAACTTTCTTTTTGGGATAATTTTTTGGGGAGGGAGAATCAAAAATACCACACCTGGATATGGTCTTTCGGAAGTAAGGTTTCTCGGGCATCAAGGCATCTGTAATGGGTAAATAAAGCATTTATTCTCATTTGGAAGTTACTGCTTATTCAGTTAGACTGATTATCAATTTACCTTTCTAGGAGCTCTTGTGCTTCCCTCAAGCTCCCCACCGACTGAAGGGTCAGGGCAAGGCCCTCAGCTGCAATTACAGTGTCCAATGAATTCCATCCCTGTATCATAAGATACTGTAACTCATTCATCAACACAACAAAAGAAAAAGAAAAAGGAAAAAAATCACAAAAAATACCCAACATGATGGGTGAGACCTTTTAATAAGAAGAAATGAGCAAAACAGTGGCCAAAACGCAATGTGCTGTCTCACGTCAATAAGTGAGACCTTTTAATAAGCAGAAACGAGCAAGCCAATAAAACAAATGTAAACAGTACCATAAGTCAAAATTACAAAGCCAACTTGAGAAAGAGAATGCATGCGAATAACTACAAAGATATGGTCCAAAAATAGCATGATTGCTGGCATGGTATTAAAACAATAAAGGTTCAGACTGAAATGATCAGAAAAGAAAACAAAAGGAAATTTAAGGCAAAGTGCTTTGGACAACAATTGATGTTCACCTCTTTCAAATATCTTTGAAATCTTAGAAAATTAAAGGTCCTACAAACATTTTTTGCTAAAAAAAAATCTTAGAATAAAAGATTTTTAAATTAAATTGACAAGCCTACAGATCATGTATGAGTATTTGTTCTTCACTTACATGTGGTGTCATACAAAAACAGCCTCTGATTTGTTGGTTAAGACAAAAACGTACACCCAATGTCAAAAGAACATAGAGGATCCAAGAAAGTGAAAACAAAAAAGAGAAACAATCGAAAAGTGATCAGATTGGTATTCTTTTTTGGGAAAATCTATATTAACTCATTCTGTAATGAAGGAGAAACTGCCTCGCTACCAGATCTTTACATACAATCTTGGCCTAGTATGTAAGCAAGAGGATCAGGGGTGAGAATTCCCCAAGTTATAGGCAACACTACCATCCTGTCCAGCAGAATAGTTCAGATAAATCAAGAGGTGATCCACCAAATCAAACCCTACTCTTGCATATTTCCGAGCATTCAACCCTAAAGAGCACATACACTTGTTAGGAACATTATTACAGAGTGGTCGCTGGTCACTGATGACACAACATGTAATGCTAAGCAATGGACCCATCACAACATAATATTCTCCTCTTTGGGCTACCCCACTCGGCTTGAAAACATGTTGTACAATGTAAATCCAAAAGTATCACAACTCACTCTTATAAGGCACTTCACACATTTCACCATGCGATTTGGGTTGAGTACAGCACGCATTTAGAAAAGATTGTTGAGGTGTTTGGCATGGTCTCTAGGTTAAAGGTTATTATGGATAAAAGCTTAATTATAGGAATAAATTCCAGCCAGGAGAAGATTGAGAGGTTGGCTACGGATTTCGAGTGTCTTGTGGGTGATTGTCCATTGAAGGATGTAGGTCTTCCTTTAGGTGGTAATCCGATGTCTACATCTTTCTGGGATCCTGTTATTGAGAAGATAGGGAGGATGTTAGATGACTGGAAGAAAGTCTTTATTTCAAGAGGGGGTAAATTAACATTAGTGTAGTTTGTGTTGGCAAGTATCCATATTTATTTCTTGTCTCTCTTTAGGATGCCTTGTTTGGTGGTAAGGAGAATTGAAGGGATGATGAGGGATTTTCTATGGGAAGAAAATGGGGAAGGAAAGAAAGATCATTTGATTTGTTAGGATGTTGTGTCCAGGCCTAAAGCGAAAGGAGTACTTTCAGTGTGGAATTTGTAGAAACTGAATATGGCCTTGGTTGGAAAATGGTTGTGGAGATTTCCATTAGAGCAAGATTCACTATAGCATACGGTTATTAGAAGCAAATATGGGTTAGAGGCTAATGGGTGGGATGCTAACGAGGTTGAAACGGATACATTCTGGAGACTATGAAAATTTATTTCTTAGTGGTTGTTTAACTTTTCTCAAAGGGTGAAATTCATTACGGGAAATGGAAAGAGAATTCGTTTTTGAGAGGATATATAGTGAGGAGAGTCTTCATTTTCTAGTCTATGTCCTCGTCTTTTCTAGTTACCATGGACATTGCATCTTTAGTAACTTCTTATTCTTTTTCAATCTCTTGGGATTTTGGATTTCATAGGAATAATAGGAACATTTGGAGTTGTTGCTACTACTTTCTATGCTCAATAATGTTTCTTTGTCCCTAAATTCTATCAATAAAAGAGTTTGAAGTAGTGAGACTTCAGGTGTTTTCTCTTCTAAATCTTATTTTGAATCCTTAATTGATAATTCTTCATTCCCATTATTCCATCCTTCCTTCAAGATTTGGAAAGCCCAGATTCCTTTAAAAGGGCAAATTTGTGCATGGATAATTGCTCGTAATAAAATTAATACTAATGATGTGCTTCAAAAGAGGAGACCTACGACTTGTCTTTCACCACAATGGTGTGTAATGTGTAAAGGGAAATGTGAGAGTGTTGATCATCTATTCTAACACTGTCCTATGGCTTTATCTCTTTGGTACAAATTATTTGACTTTGTTAACCTTTGTTAGGTGGCACTGAGATCAATGACATCTATATTTTGTTTAGATTTTAATGGGTTCAGAGGAAAAATAAAATGAAAAATCCTTGGCATTGTACTCCCGAGGAGAGGCCGTCTAATTCTAGGTGCATACCGAGGAAAAGGGCTCAGCAGCAGGGGATTGAATCCCACCTACACTGCAGCTACGAATGTGGAAAGGGCGTGGTGCTACTATTTGGTTTGTATGAAAGGAGACAAATGCAAGAACCTTTGATGAAAATGGGAGGAGTTTGAGTGGTTGTGGGATCAGATTCATTTATTGGCTTCTTTTTGGGCATTGATGACTAAGGAATTTGATAATACTCTGCTCTCTAGCATTATGGCGAATTCGAAAGCATCATGCGACTTGTAATTTGGATTCATTGATCAACTTTTGCTTTATTTTGAGTCTACTTTTATTCTTCAATGGGTTGAACAACTTGTCAACCTTTGAAGGGCTTTTTTTATCATTTTTCTCACTTTTATTATTACTAGCAATACACGACACGACGTGCATTGCATGTAAATAAATTTAAATAATATTTTTTTTAAAAAAAAATTATATGTATAATTAAATTAAACAATAAATTAAGTGTTGAATAATTAATCCATATTTTAATTATTACTAAATTTAATTATTAATTTATTCTATAATTCTTTGAGTACCTAATCTATTATTTATTTAAATATCGCTCTGACCCCTTTAGGTATTTGTACATCTAATCATATTATAGAATTATTAATTTTTATTTTGTTGAATAGATTGATTAAATCGCTTCTAATATTATTATATTATTGCATACCAAAAAATAAAATATAAGATATATATAACCGTGAAATTAAATCTGATAACTTCATGTATATAATAATTTAACATATATATAACTTTATTTTTCATATAGATATAGAAAATTGTATATAATTATACTACAAATGAATGAGTTCAAAAGATGAAAGTATATAAGTGGGTATAATTGACTTTATTATAATAATTAGGGATAAAATAGGAAATCAAAAAAATTTTCACAGATGTTACCATTTATAAGTAGCTATGAAGCACGGACACTCTCGAGAACGTGACGTATCCGTGTTGGACACCGACACTCTTCGGACACTCTCGGACACGTGTCCAATATTCTTTTATCCATGTCTATAATTAAATGATAAATTTTTAATTTCGCACACGTATCGGACACTTCTTTGATGACGTGTCTGACACTTGTTTAGAATATGTCTACTATTAAACAATAGACATTTGTTGAAATGTGATTAACAAATCTTAAAAATTTGAGAAAATATAATTACTAATACTAGACATATTAAAGTTTTACTCCAAATATAATAATAAAAACAAAACATGCATAAAAGTTTTAAAAAAGAGGAATTGAAAAAATGAGAATAATTATTTAAATTATATATTAGGTACACATTGTCTATACAAAAATTGATGATTATTGACTATAATAAGGACGTTTTAGTCTAAAAATTCACATAGATGACTAGACATTAGGTTTTCTTATCATAAAATACTGATTTTTTTATAAATTGTATATTATTATCACTATATTTACAATAAATTATATAATGTCATATATAAAATATAATTTTTTTGTAGCGTGTCATCAACTTGCCCGTGTCCTACTTTTTTCAAAAATATCGTATCGGCGTGTCCGTATCGTGTCGTATCCGTATCCCGTATCCGTGTCCATGCTTCTTAGATAAGTAGTATAGATAGATTAATAAAATAGTTGTTTCTTATTGAAAAAGGTACAGGATGCATAAAAAACATAAAGAAGTATCACACAGGTGCAATGAATATAGTGCAATGCAATTCATAAACACAAGTTTATTGTTGTTACTTCCAGATTTAGAAAAGAGCTTGGACATCAAAAATGAAAGAAAACTGGATGAATGGACCAATTTCAGTACATATGAATACATTTACAAAACGGAACTTTTCATTGAAAGCATTATAATGCTGCCACACAATGCAATCAGAACCAAAATAAAAGAGAGAACATATTCCACAAAGAAGAGGAGGAAATTAAAAGTAAAATCTTTAGCTACATTAAACATAAACAGTGTCTTCTGAAGGCACTCATAAAGTAATAAAATTCAAAATACACCTTCACGAAATGAGTAAACCAGAATAGAAAGAAAGAAAGGGGAAAACAGAAAGGTAAAACCTTTGATAATTCCATCATACGCAGAATCTTTCTCTGTACATTCTCAGCATCTGCAGGTCGATTGGACTTTACATAAATCTAAAAAAAATAGAAAGAATATAAGTAGCTTGAACAAGAGAGAGGTAAAGCATCCAGACACATGGAATGCATATTTAGATTAAAGAGAGGCAAACATAAAAAATATGAGTACTGCAGTTGAAGTGAATACAAAGCAGTGGTAATTGGTATCATTATGATCAGAACGAATATGAAAAAGCATAGGCATACAATCGTGAGGCCAGGAAGCATTTTGAGCATGTATATGTTCATCACCTTGGAAAAACAATGAATTATAGCAGCAGCAAGACAATCATTTCAGCTCCGAATTATTTCCGGAAAAAAATTGTTGAAATTGTTGACTCTCGACTTTTTGACATTTCTAGAATACAAACATTTTCTTCCCAACTCAAATAATAAAGTGCTTCACAGGTGATGGACATGCATTGATCATTTTTCAGATGCACATTAAGTTTATATCAAGAAAACAGGTGTTATCGCACTGACAAATGCCTCTAGACCACTAAGAACCTCATTAGAATGATCAATTATTTCAAAGTTAGGAGCTAAGGGAGCTTGAATCCCACTCATAAGTGGGGGGAACCCTTCTGGGGCTAGGGGACAAGACCAATGCTAAAAGTTGGAAGAAAAATCTGCATACTGAATGAATGTGCAAGCTAATCTTGGTGTTCCGTAAATATGGTCACTAAACCAGGAAGATTCGGGGAACAACCATATAGTAATTTTTACTTGAGTTAAGAACTGGCTCCAAACCAATCTTCTAAGAGAACCTCTACTTCTCAAATCCATGATGTTATCTTCACCCAAGCCAGCCAACTCTGAACACCAAATATATCAGTTCATCTGAAATTTGAAGACGTAACTTGGGAAGATTAAGGAGGGAAAAGATACCACTTTTATCATTACTCACATGATACAATATGATCCTATTTATTCTTTTAAAATCAATACAATTTTAGCCAAACAAAATAAAATTATCCATTCCCATCAACATCATCTTATACTGCCCGCTATTTTTTTGCCCCCTTAGGGTTGGGTGGGGAAGTTTTATAATGGCAGCTCTCAAAGAAATACCAACCCTCAGATAACTTCCTCACATTTCAAACTGACCATTAATCAATACTACTAATAAAAGTGGCTTAAGTGAAAATTTTTTGATTTTATTATTTATCCTTCAATAATTCTATAATGTCTATTTTATCCTTTTTAAAGTGGATTAAGAGAAAAACTTTTGATTTTCTTATTTATCCTTCAAAAATTCTATAATGTCTACTTTATCATTTTTTGTGGAACTTTTTTATTTTTTTATTAGTTGCATTAATTCAACTAATAAATTCATTGATTGACTTTTGATTATCTTCTTTTTAAATAATATAAATTCGATCCAAATCTGATTTAAACAATGTAATTCGAATCCAATTCAATTATCCAATAAATTTTATTTTTTACAGTGCATATAAGAATCCGTTAAAATAGATATTCGTTCTGGTTCGAATAAGTTGATTGAAGACGATTTTAACATTTAAAGTATGGATTTCTATTCAATTTTATTAAATAATCACCAAATTACATCATATTTTTGTATATGTTTGTACATATGTAGTGCATATCCAAGTTTGCTAAAAAATAAATACTTGTATAGATCTAATAATCTATATACTACTTTTGAATGTCAATACTTGTCAAAAAAGACTTAATTAATAATACTATACTTAAAAATAAAAGACAATAAAAACCTATGGTAGTAAATTCTTATTAGTCCAAGAAATCAATAGTCATCCATCTATTAATCACTTACTAAAGTTTAACATTACAGTTTTTAAATGCAATGCAATTCAATTTTTTATTTTTTTTTAACATTATACAATGCAATTCATACAACCCAAAATACAAGAAAAATCTTGAATGTAACAGTTACCCCACATCAGCAATGCCACTTTGTGTAATCGTCCATGTGAAGAAAATTAGTTCAATTTATCTATTTTTTTTTTTTACAAAAGTTCAATAATAGGCGTGCAATACACGTGTGCACCAACTAGTATGTATAAATGTCCAACACGTAAACACAAACTTCAATTACAGTTCGAGTATGACATTTTAACTGCAGATCTGGGTTAATTCTTTTCCCTAGTTCACTTGTAAAGAGCTGGACTTGCACAAACAGCCACACTCTTGCTTGGCCGTACAAGAGATTCAATAATGCCCTAATTGCCATCACTGTATATGTGTTAATCAAATAATGCCCACAAACAAATCCATCCTTCACTAGATGCATGGTAAATTGAGGCTTAACCTGAGCAAGATACCGCAGTCTCCGAATGCATATCATAGATTCTCCAAGCCCACCTTGCTGCATGATCAGATAATGCACAGAATAAGAAGAAAGAAACTTACATATGTAACATTAAAATGTCTAAAAGCAGCATATGTTTTCAAAAACAAATTATGCACCTCAAGTATCCAAATAGAATCCTGAATGAGGGCTTCAGAATCCTTCTCTTTTCCCTGAAGATATAACACCTGTATGTTGCGTCAGATAGTTCATGTCAGTTGCACAACTAAAGCATGGACAAAGATAGAAACAAGAAAGAAAAATTAAGACCCACCTAGAGAAATGATCCAACTTTAAAAGGTTGGTTGACAACAACAAAAATAATGCCAATATTTGAAAATGTAAAGAAAGCTCTTTAACAACTTCCAGATACAATGAGTATAAACACGCTAAGATGTTCTAGAAAGGCCTGAACTGATAGAATTATCACAGTATAAATAGTCCTTGATCAACCAAAAGTAATTGAGAGACGTTCCAATAAGAGAAAATATGAAAAATAGTGAATCGCAAATGGTAAATCAACATTATGAACAACAATTTCACAAAAGATTGCGCTCTTCAGAATGATGATTTTGAGAGAGTTCGCCTGTTGCTTCTCTTTATGGATAAATTTATTCATTAATTTTTTTTTTAAAGAAATGGATAAATTTATTGAAATTAAGGTTACTACGTGCTTTTATATCTCTCCTGATTTCTCATTTTTTCCACCATCTTCCCGCAACATTTTTGTTTCCAAAACCACGGTAATAATGCTTCCAAGCAAAATTTTGATCCATGGTTTACCAATAAATTGGAGAAAGTTCTTCAGCGATTATGGAAGAAATATCCATCCCTGGAAGCACAACAAGATGATTAAACTTGTAGAATTACCATGCTTTATAGGTTTCTGCCAAATTCTAAAAAACTTACATTTATTTCCATAATGGAGGAATCACATACACCTGATCTGTATACTCATATGATTCCGTATCTTCATTTTATTTCTATAGTTGAGGAGTCATACATCAGATCTGTACACACACATAGTTAAGAGACATGAGACTACCTTGCCTTTACTTTAACATACGTAAACGAAATCTAATAATGTGAGTTTACCAGGATGAAATAGTAGAATGCAGCACATTGATGGCTTCATTATATACCTCAAATAAAGGCATGGAAAAATCAAACGAACATTGTTGTGGAAAATTAAAATAACAGAAAATCTACAGTACTACCGTTCCCAGATGAAACATTGTATCTGCATAGTCTGTGTGGCCCTCCCCCAGAACATGCCTTTTTATCTTCGTGAATAAAAAGTAATGTTAGATTACATGTCACAAAATTTACTAGGCAACAGCTATTAAAAAGAAGGATAGTAGGATGCCAAAAGTTAGATCGTACCTTTAGAGCACGCTGTCCAAAATATTGCGGAAAAAAAGCGACCACAAAAACAACAATATTATCAGGCCGCATAGAAAATATCAGCTTTTGCACATTGCATATGAAGATGGCCTAAATTTTTCAATAGGTAACTGTTTACCTGATAGCAATTACGAGCTTCTTCCAATTTCCGCTGTACAAGATAGAATTGACCTAGGTTGTGAAGGGCAGCCCCAACACTGCACAATAACAGCTAATAGGGGTCAGATATATAATTCCCACACTTAATTAATGGTGCTACAAGAAGAAGACAAGCAGTTGAATAATCATCGACTTCATTTGAAACGAATCACAAAAGTGAAGTCCGTTGTCTATTCTTGAATTGATCATGCCAGCAATATGCCAATATCCAGGCAATAGAAAGGAACCATATTCTGAGTGAAAAAATTGAGGAAAAAAAAGACACACACGGAGAGGCAGCCACAGCTTCCAAGTAATCAGCAATATAAATGCAACATAGATTAAATATCGTCATTAAGCAGTGTTCGAAAAATTTTCATCGTTGTATTTTTTCTTTGCTAACTAATAAAAAAGAATCCGCGAAATGCCCAAAAGAAAGGATTTGATACCCAACTTGACATATTTTGTACAGTCAAAACTTGAACAATTGTATATTATGGTTTAGTAAAATAAAAAAATAAAAAAAGGAAGAAGGAGAGAGCAAGGATCAAATTTTGTTTCGCTACACTGTTTTGGTCACCTAAGAAACGGATACATTTCGACTTATTTCGGAAACGTTTCAACTCATTTCGAAAACAAAATGAAAAATATAAAAAATTTAAGAATTATTTTTTCAAACATTGATTGAAATAAACCAAAGTATCTTGAAATACCATGAAACATGACAAAAAAATTGTGCAAATGTATTGAAATATTATAAAACATTTTGAAACATTATGAAACAACTCAAAATATTAGAATTTTAATTTCATCACTAATTCGTTTAGGTCTCTTTAGAAACGGAATCGTTTCGGACATTTCAACGTTTCGAAACGAAATTTTGATCCTTGGGAGAGAGAAAGAAAGAGATTATGAAGCAATATTGGGTGTAGGGTATGTATTGCCTATGCCCTATCACCTATTTATATTACATTGATATTGAAGACAATTAAATATCAAGAAAATAAAATATAATATGAAAGCAACATAATAGAAAACTAGAAAAATTTGAAAGTAACACTCTAACAATCCCTCTAAAGTTGTAGCATGGAGATAAAAAATGTCCAGCTTTAGAATAAAAGCTACGAAAGGTGAACTGCGGTAATGGTTTGGTAATATCACAGAATTAAACACCAGACTTTACAAACAGCATCGCAATATCTTGCATAAACAATAAGAATAATAAAACTGAACCACGGTCTAGGTAACGGCTTTAGACCATACAAGGACTTCTTTAATCAATGCATACCACAATTCTCCCGGTGAAAAACAAACTCAGGTGGTTACTCCATGTAAGCCTTTTAAGACACATTACCATGAAAAGGGACATTTTTAACATTTAACTGACAAAGCAAAAGTAGAAGCTGATGAAGAAGGAATTAACAATTTATGTGGTATTACTTGAGCATATCCCTTCCATGATAAAATGATCAACTCAGAGTCGGTGACCAAACAACATCGGACTCATCGATCACACTGAATTTAGGGGTAGAACAAGGTGACGGCAGAGGACAATCACAACAATACTGCGACAACAACATCGGCCCAAATAAACATAACCATCAACACTATAACGAACCATCAACAAAAACAAATTCAACCGCAACAATCAAACATAGGGAGAACCAGAGTTGATTCAGCCAAAAAGGAATCGATGCTGAAAACCACGAAACTAATACTGAATCAGACTTATAACTACAAAACTGACACTGAATCAAGCTGAAAACAGCTGAACCGACACTAAACTAGTCTAGAAATCATGAACTAGCACCAAACTGACCTAAAAACCATAGAACAAACACTAAATTGGACTGAAAACACTTAACTGATAGAACCACTAAACCTATAAGCTAAGGAAAAACCCACTAAATCAGAACTAAACCCTGAGCAGAGATGAAAATCACTAAACCAATATCAAATTGGGTCGAAAACCCCTAAACCGACATTAAATTGGACTTCAAACACTAATCTAGAACTAAATTGGAATGAAAACCACTAAACCAACACTCAATCATGCTAAAAACACTAAACTAGAATGAAAACCACTAAACCAACACCAAATTGAATAAAAAACCACTAAACCGACACCAAATTAGCTAATGGATTGGACTAATTGTCCATCCATCCTCTCTTATTGCACTACTTATTTTTTATCATTAATAAAACTTATGATATTTATTAAAAAAAAAAGGATGAAAACTACTAAAGTAGCATCAAATTGACACCGAAGACAGAAAGCACAAACCACAACAACTAATGGTGATTACAGCAAGCGATCAACAAAAAGACATCGATGACAGGAAAACTATAACTTAGAGTGAGTTCGGCAATGACAACAACTGTTGAACACAATGACGACTACAACTTTGATGTGTGCGGGAATGACCCTAGGCGAGTGAGGCCCTCGCACAGGCCCCCACTCACACAAGTATATTGCTCTGATAACAAGTTAAAACTTGAATACTTGTATATTAAGGATGAGGAAAAGAAAGAAAAATAGAGGAAGAAAGAGATAATAGGAAAATTGACATAATAGAAAAGTAACGTAATAGGAAAGTAACACTCTTACCATATTTACCAGAACGCTAGCCCGCCGACATATTTATTTGTATAAGAAAAAGCGAACTACATGTTTATGTACGCCAAAATAAAAAACACTGATTACACAAAACCTCAACAAGAAAATCTATAAAAAAAATGAAAAAGATTGTTTGAGCCAAAAATACATTGTACTAACTATCTATTCCTCCAATCTATTGATTGAAAACTTTGCTCTTCAACAATTCAAGTTCTCATTGCGGTAAACAACGCACCAAGCAAAGGCCAAGAGAAAAATCACTATACTTCCTAATTGTCTTTCTAACATAACTCGTATTCCAAAAAAAAAAAAAAAAATCACCAAACTCGTAGGCATAAACCCATACCAGTACACCTCACACAAAGCCAACAACACATGCCACAACTTTCTTGGCCATGCCTCCACATCAATTTTTTCCGACAAAGACTGGAGCACTTTCAAAAGTTCCTTCATGTTTGTTTGCCTTTGCATACGGATCTCTCATCTTTCTTCCTATATTACCTCTTTAATTTCACAGTCACATCATGCAAATAAGTTAATGAGTTAGACAAGGTTAGAAACATGGTTATGATATCACACATCCTCATAAATATGCATCCATCTTAAAACAATAAAGAGATGGACCTGCAAATAGATGCATGTGCCATTATGTGATATCCAAATCATCTTTCTCCATACACATATAAGCATATCAATCAACTTGCAACTAGTTTTTACATTGAGCATAGCCTACCAAGAAACAAGAAAGTGTACCGTATGTCATCCAATCCAAATGACTCCTCAAGTATATTAATGGCCTCCAAATATAATGGTTCCGCTTTATCAAACGCCTTTTTAACTCTATACAACTCTGCCTGCGATGAAGATAAAAGAAAACAATAAGTTCTGATAAAGTACTATATTTACAAAAAGATCAAGTAACCTGGATTTTGTATTCCCAAGAGATCAATTCTCCTTTCCTCAACGAGAATGGTGTTATCACTGGATATGGTTTCTGGGACAAATTCTCTTGCACCGATTCCTCACAACATGGCATCTCAAACATGCCAATGTCTTGATTATAAAGGTTCATTTCGTGTACATTCTAGGACCGAAATTATATAATTCATGATCCCAAAACTTCCAGCAAATATACATTGTTTAAAGGAAAGGTTTAGATAAAAATTACCAACAAAAACAAGGTGTTTCGGTACTTGTAAGGGCCAATGAAAACCCAATACAACTACATTATTTGTATCCAGGATTCATGCACTCAAATTTCCAAAAAAAAAACTTGGAAACAGAATCAACAAAATCTGGGAAGTCCACAAATATATCAAGATAAGTACAGCATGGAGAGCTTTGCAGGACCGGAGAATTTTGTTCCACATGATTATATTTCAGCAAATAGCATCCAACCCAAGTACCGAACAATTGATGCTGGAGTATCAAGTATATGAACTAATCTTGGGTGTAATCAATTTTTCGATTGGATAGCTCTTTTCACACCTTCCCTCATGTGTGACTTGGGCTAGCACGTGAGCTAAAATTGAAGACAAACAGACAAATAAACTTGATTTTAACTGAAAACGATAGAAAAACATACCAAAATTCAAATAGGTGAGAGGCTTGACCCACCAATCACCTACCATCCAGCTCTGATACTATGTTAGAGCCAAAACTAACTGGTGATGGGTAGAGTAGCTCCCCAACTATATGAACCAATCTTGGGTGTAATTTTTGATATGGGATAGCCCTTTCACAAAATGAATACTGATTCTATCATATTTCATCAAAAACTAGCAAAAACCAGAAATTTTCTTTGCCCCCTCTTGCTCATTTAAACAATCTAAAAAGAAAGCACCATGTGTACTTTTTACTAGAAGCTCCACCTAGGTGATATTTTTATTGTCCACTTTTCTGGACTATCCCTAAAAGATCATACAACTTCGAGGATTCTAGCATATCAATCTGACAGCTCTATTTCCTCAGTTGAAAGGACTTCTTCAAGGGGCAAAGAAAGACATCTAAAGAGAAGATTAGTTGTATATTCGACTTCAGATTCAGACTTGGATTTGTTAATCCGATTAGGATTAGCATAGATAGAATATGACCCATATCTAATCCGTTAACAGGCCTACTGCCCATATGAACAATCAGGATAATTGCAGCAACTCAATCATATCCCCAAATAAGCCTCAAACAAGGAGTTGATGTTCCAGGGCCAACACACTTGATCCTAGTAAAAACAAAAGAACTCTGTCAAAGAGAAAAATATGGGCTAGAGGATGAAAAAATGAGTAAAAATTTCATGACCCCTTTTGCACATCACTAAAATTTAGGGTTAATCATGTATCATGCTTCTCAACTAGAGCATCTCATTGGTGTTGTCCTTGTTAGTAGCTCCTAATGAATAGTAAGGCTTTTCAATAGCCAAATCATGTTAGCGTCCAGAAAGGGGGAAAATCCAATAAAATTCAGGTGAAAGTAGAACTAGGTGAAAATAGCCACTAGATGCCAAGCTCATGTATCTCAAAATACTGTGCAAATAAACCACTATTTTTCTAGCGCATGCATCTCTTAACACAAGTGGACACTGAGACAAATGCTATTAATAAGAAGAAGAGAACAATAAGAAGAAAAGAAGATAATGCTTTCCACACTCCTTCATTAAGCATCCTGCAGCAATGGAAGTTCCAAGAGGGAGAAGCTGCAGCATTGGAGATACCAGATTAAATTGGGAATTATATGAATTGGTACCTCATGGAGATAAACATTTTAAACAAGCAAGAAATGATTCTTCACCCATCACAAATTCTCGCCGAACCAAATCCTAGATCCATTGCAAAGATGAGCAGTTTTTTCTTCAGTATGCCACCAAAGAAATGACTGATGAGCTTTCCATGGAGAAAGTGAGATTAATCTAGAAGCCTCATTAAATCCCAAAGATCTGCTTGAAGAACATACTCTCTTGATCAACTTAAGTCAAAGATGGCTTTCCTCTTCTTGAATTCTTTACAATCAATTAGCTAAAAACACTATAATCCTAAGAGTTAAGAACCCACAACCTGCCTACAATTTTGGGGAACAATACATCTACAAAGAAATTAAGACAGGAATCAGAATTAGTTTGGAACTCATATCTTGCGAGCTGTAACAATATGACAGGTCATCCTCCAGTTAGTCTAAATAGAACAGTAGATATTTGGTGTCTCCTAATTTTGTGGGAATTCCTTTTCTTGATTAGGGTGGATTGGAGATCCCGATGCAAAATGTAACTTGAATGAATCGTTTTTCTTTTCTTTCCTTTTCCTTATTGATGGATTACTCATGCTTAATACGACAAGTTATCACTTATCCACAACAAAAATAGTGCCAATCCTTAATCATCATCTGATTCATACACAAGTCTATAATTATACACAACACATGCACAAACGTATCACCCTTAAACAAGGGCTCTTAGCTTCAAAACAACCAAGAAAATTTGATAAATTAATACTATTACTTCTTTGGAAGGTGCTTATATTTTTCCAGCTGCAATTACCATAATGTTTAAAGTACACTTTTGCAAACACAGATGAAGAATAAGAAGACTATAACTTCATTAACAACCTTTTTTACACAATTCAAAACAGCTCTGCAGAGGACCCACCAGATTGTTGTATGCAGATGCAATATGAGGATCCTTTTCACCAAACCCTTCTTTAGCTTCTTGTAACGCGGATAAAAAGAAGCATTCAGCTTCCTCCAGTTTTCCCTATAAGAAATAGAATGAAAATACAAGTTAAGGAAGAAATGAAACCCTAACTGCCACACAAATGGAAAAACAAAAAGAATAGCACAGATCTGAGCAGATAAATGCTTGCCTGCAAAAATAAATCTCTTCCATTATCTGTAAAAACTCTCCATTTTGATGTATGTAAATTTGATACCACAGACCCATCCTCAATTTTACGTAAGCCAGTTAGGCTAGCCTCACTTGCATCATTTTCATAACTTAATTTAACTGAAACATCTTCTGCTAATACAGGAATGGCACTCATCCCAATAATCACTGCTGCTGGAAAAAATTTAACATGTTCACAGAAAGATAAGTTTGTTGATAAGCTTTTTAATTAAGCTAGAAACTCAACAATGTTGCAACCCAAACGCTAGACACATGTACTGTAAAAAAGGGCTACATAAACACCATTTAAAATATGCTATTAATGGACAAGTGAATGGCTTCAGTGTTTCTACGTAAATAAGAACATTGCTTTTTTTATAAGCATAACAAAGTCTCCTGGAAATGATAACAGTGTGTGCAAATAATTAAAAAACATACCTAAATCAAGATATATATATATATATATATAGATAGGAGAATATAAAAATACAACGCTGTAACATAAACCAGATATAGCCTCATCAAGGCAAACTGACCAACACTATACCTTTAAAGCTCAGCAATCTTTTCAAGTGACAAATAACAAAAAGACTAACATCCGCTTACCCCAAATCCCAATCACCCAACTCAAAAATAACTTTTGCAATAGCGCGATTTCGTCCATTTGTAGTGGACTCTGCTTTTGCCTAACATTCATTCCATTGGGCAAACATAGCCTAGACCCATAAAAACTTTCAAACAAGGATCAAAATTTTATATCGGTGCATTGTTTCGCTCACCAAGGAAACGGAAACGTTTCGAAAACATTTCGACCTATTTCGAAAATAGAATTAAAACGAATAAAAAATTTGAGAATTATTTTTCTAAAATATTGGTCGAAATATACTAAAGCATCTTGAAACCTCGAAACATTCTGAAACAATTGTATAAATGTGTCAAAACATTATGAAACATCTCGAAATATTAGAATTTCGATTTCATGATTGATTTGTTTCGGTTTCCTTAGAAACAGAAACATTTCAGCTGTTTTGAAACAAAATTTTAATCTTTGCTTTCAAAGGCACACAATGAATATTCAAGTACTAGTCAAAACAGAAAAAGGACCGACGAAGATCCTGTACTTGGTCAATGTACATCAATAATGGAATCAGACCCACGTAGTGGTCATCAATTTAAGCACCAGCAGATGCACAAGAAGGGTCTAGAAAACCTAGATTCCTAGAAAAAAAACTCATATGGAACCTTCAAATTGATTTGGGTGTTACCTGGGTTGGCTACCAGTCTCTTAGACGTTCTAAGGGTCAAAATATGATCTTATAGTTGCTTTGTAAATTCCTGACTTATTCAATTTATTTTATTGGAGTCTAAGAGTCAGGATGAACTTACACCCGGTAGGATCAAGCGCAAAATGGGATCAAGTTTACACCCTACATATCATTGCATGGGACTCATATTTTATTAATCCGACCATTGCATTAGCTTTAGATATTTGTCATAGGTGCAAAATTAATCTCAGCTAGAGGCCGATAGCTACCGCATTAAAGAAAAGGTTAAACAAAAAATTATCAACTCATCTGCAACCCCACCCAACCCCTCCCAAAAAAAATAGAAAAAATAGGAAAACTTACTCAGAGTTTCTTAGTCTCTCAACCCAGTAACTATGGACAAGGACCAAGACTTGTATCCATATTTCCAACAAGGTCGAATTCATCCACCATCACCTCTCCTAGAATCAACAGCTCTTCTATTGGTTAAACAATGAACCCAACATCACTCAAACGCATGGAGCAGAAAAATGAGATATCTCAACGCCCCATCACCATGATTTTAGGGGAAAAAAATAATAATAAGACAAACGAGATAAAAACTATTTGCCGAAGGCCCTTTCAATTCAAAATAAAAGGGAAACAAACTTTAGGAATTCAAGAGTCTGTCTTCTCCGCATCAAGTCCCTAAAACCCATCTCTTTGGAACTGACACAATAATTAAAGCATTTAAGCTTTTATAAAACTCTAAAGCATAAAACTTGAGCCTGATGAGCCTAGGAAGTAAATCTCAAGCTTGCTTTAGGCGCTACTAGAATGATACTATATAGTATTTCTTGTATTTAATATATCGAGTCAGGTGACCAAAAATAGCTACATCTAATTCAAAAACATACATATATGGTATGTAAATCCATCAATAGGTTGAAATGCAACAAAATAAGATATAATGTATATAATAAGTTCAACATAATTGGGTTATATTCCAAAATGTTATCCTTGCTAAAAAATCAGATATTAATTTTCACCCACCCTTTCAATTTACTAACATAGATCAATATCGTAAGTCATGTACAATGAAAGAATTGGCCAGGGCTTCCAAACAAGTGGTAACCCAGTCCACTCCACACCACACCTTAGCCAAAAAATCTAGAAACTCGTGTACTTACACTTTTGTAACAGCTGAAATGATGCTCCAGAGTGAGTTTGATCTCCTTCATCAACTCCCCCCCCCCCCCCAAAAAAAAAAAAAAAAACAAAGCAGGGTAAACCCCTGAGCAATCCATACTTCGGAGAGACCATAAGCTTCTCATTTGGACATGAAAACTTGTTCATGAGGTTGGATAAGTACAATGCTGATGATCCACATGATATGGCCAGGTTTATCATTGTTAGTGAGCATATCAGTGAGGGGTACTAGGTTCATAAGAGTATAAACCCTATACCTACTTATATATTGTTCTATGAGGAATTGAGACTTACTGTTTTTTGCCCTGTTCTCTATCTGTACAAATTTTCTGTATGCTAAAATCATGACACCAGTGAGGGGTACTAGGGTCATATCGTATAAACCCTATACCTACTTATATGTTGTTCTATGAGGAATTGAGACTTACTGTTTTTTGCCCTGTTCTCTCTCTCTCTCTCTCTCTGTACAAATATTCTGTATGCTAAAATCATGACACCAACTTTTCAGCTTGGCTTGCTGCAATGAAGTAAAGAAGAAGGCAGCATTTTGTACAAGCCAGCTTTTTGGCTGCAAAATATCATCTCAATTGCGGAAAATATAGAAAACCCTCGTCTAACTTCTAGTCCTCTCAAACCTCATAAACACTTCTCTTCAACAATGTAATGTATGTCACTACAGAAAAATAGTACATTGGAGATACAACTAAAAACTGGTCAAACCCATTAATTTTCCTCCCTGCTGCTATGTCAAACCAAGATACCTTGGAATTCCAAATCACCTAGTCCTCAATAAGTTAAACTTTCACTTAAAAATTTTGACTTCTTTTGACTTTTGCTATCCAAAGAAGAAGAAGAAAGTTAACCATTGACATTCCTCACAAGACATAACTAGAAGGCATGCCATTTCTATTCAGGAAATGCTTGAAAACAATTTTGTTCAATATTCAAACGTTTTAATGGATAAACACTGTCAAGGTTTTGCATATATAGCCCTTACTCTCCCATAGTCTGCACAGGAGTGACAAAAAGAAGGTATTCTCAGACATGACTCTACTTTTGAAGGTAAGAAAAGAAGGGGGGGAACGAAAAAAAAACATATTTTCTTACAGGAAACGAAAAATTACAAGACCTTAGGCTATATCAGAGAAAGTGAAAGAGAAAGCATTGCCAGAGAAGCCATCCCCACATAACTCCAGCATAAGAAGTTAAATTCGTAATAGAGAGTATAGAGCATCTCCAAGAGAAATTGTAACAGCATTATTTTATTAAAAAACTCGCAGGTATACATTCAGCACGAAGAAAATTGGTTTTAGTTTAATTTGTCTTTTTTTTTTGTTTGGAATGAAAACAAATTATACCAGCTTGAGCAGGTTGGAAATTCTACACGCTAGCATTCCTATGTTGCCTCCTCTGAGCACCGGATTAACAAATCACAAACTCAATCCATCACCAAAACCACGATTATCATAAACGGAATCTAACTATCAAAAAACTCAATCAGGCTCAGCATACCAGCTTGTCCAGATAGTAAAATCCATTGAAAAGCATCCCTACATCGCCTACTCCCAGTATCGCCCCCAGAATAAGATTGACTCAGAAATATTGTTTTGCCTGTAACATCAAATAGGCAGCTAAAAAAAATGAGGCATTGAACAAAACCACAAAAAGATGTAGGAATTTTAATCAGTTCCATTATCAAGAAACATTTTTAATCAAAGTTTGATTGTGCCTATTCAACAATTTTTTTGTCATTATCATATTTATTCAAAACAAAAATGTTAATTTCAGTGCAAAAATACTGAATTACGAAACCAGGTTTGTCCCAACAACTACCATTGTGAATTTAAAACAGACTCACTTGCGGCCCCTTCATGGGGGTAATCCATATCCAAGTGAATAAAATGGTTGAAATGTTCGAAATTTCATTCTAAAGGATTTAACGTATTTCCCATTAACACATGTCTAAAGACGCCAAATTGTGTGTTCGTTAATATTCATTTATTGCGAATTCAATACCAAATGGCATGGAATCCAACCAATCTGGATTTACAGAGATTCAATTCCTGCTCCATTCTCACTATTAGTTAAAACCCAATCACATAACACGAATGCTATCTTCCTTCCCTTAAATTCCGCGAATTTTTAGTATTTTTTTCGGTGCAAAAATCCGCCAATCAATCGGAGCAGAAATGCCCCGAATTCAGTACAATGCAGTAAAAAGGCTATGCAATTGAGCAGTGAAACTACCGGAATTGGGCAGAGAATTGGTAGTTCTTCCGCATGAAGTAGCAGTGACTGTTTGAGACGAATAACGGAGTCTCCTTTGCAAAGTAGATACTGCTCGTCGGAGATACATTATGGCTCTTGAGAAAGAGAATCTAATGTAGAAAACGAAAGAAAGCGCTTCGCAGGATAGTGATAATGTTGATTTTTATTCCCTCTTCTAAAACCCTAAACCCTCCGTCGCAGTATGGGGTTTGATGATCGGTGTCTTCTCGCCACGCAATGTACCGTGAGTGGATGCTATTTACACTTTAGGCCCCGATCTATTTTAAAAGTAACACTTTGCCACAAACTAATCAACTTTGCTCGCATGATACACTGTTTCTAGTTACAGTAATGCTATCCTAACAAAAATTATGGATCACATAAAAAGCTCAAATGACATGGTAGTTACTAATATGGCAAGATCTGACATGACAGTTAATCTTGTCATATCAACAATTGTCATATTATTTGGACTATTTATTTAGTCCCTAATTTTGGTTAACATAACATTGTTGTTCTACTTTTTTGTCCTATTTTGTCGGAGTAATATTTATGGGATCTAAAAAATTGATTAATTTGTTGATCTAGTAATAGAGTCTCAATTAAGAAGTGCAAGAGTTACAACCCAAGTACCAACAATCGTCGGTGACATCATGTAACATGGATTATGTGGTGTCACCGTTACATTTAATATTTTCTTTATTTTTTTAACCTACTTCAAATTTAAATATTTAAATTATTTAAAATTTAAAAATGAAAATCATGTTAATACATTAATATATATATATATATGTGTGTGTGTGTGTGTGTGTGTGTGTAAGTGTCAATTAATGTTAAGGTTAAGGAGAATTTGGTGGCATGGTGATTATTGGAAAACACAACAAATAATATCGCACGGGATTCTCTTTGATAAAATATGTTAAGATCATCTAAATTATGTGAGAACAATACAGAAATACAAAATAGCACAACGAACTCAATTAAAGATTTAGATGCAACTTTCTGTCGACTATATCTCACGGCAATGGTAGAACTACTAGAATCATAAATAAAATTCCAAAAGATATTACATTAATAATCAAAGTTTCGAATACTATCAACTGAGCTTAGCTAAACCATCCCTTTCCTCATTTCTAAGAACACTCCTCAAACATGGTGGGAGGTCAGTTACCCAATGACGGGGGAGGTTGCCTCTTCTAGACAAGGCTGCTAGTGTGTAAGCAAGCTTGTTCTAACTCTTGATTGCCTAGAACTTGATCAGAGGGATCTGTTGTACATAACACCAAATGTCTTGTTGTATTGATGTTATATCCCTTAATGTAGCGTCAGGGCCCTTGCATAAACGTGTCAATTGTTATGTTGTGCATCACACTGCTTATCCTTACTAGTAATTATTTCAATCAGCACACATTGTAGCACATGGTAGGGTGATGATAGTCATATGTGGAGCCTGATTCTCCGTAAATGCAATGGGTTTTTCTATTTTGATTTGCTCTTTTATAATGATTGCACGTGTTATGTTGTATATGTTTTACTCACATAAATGCTAAAAACACTGTCACTACACGAATTCAGCACAACATGAATTTCCGACTACCTTTCATCCCCTCACTCATTGCTTCATTGGATTTGTTAGGTGGGAATGGTGGCACAAGACTTCTCTCTTGGCCAACTGTTTGAATGTGTGTTCAATGGGCAACGTATAAAGGAAAAGGAAGAGAAATGTCTGATTGGAATGAAGAAGAAAAGTCTAAAAACATCACTTTATTACATCAAAGAATCAGAGGTACTATTGGAATTTCAAATATATTTTCCTACCATATTCTTTTTCGGTGTCGGAAAGATAACTCTTCAAGAGTAGAGAAATCTGGTCTCATTTTAAAAATATCAAAAGATATTCGCCTGATTTCAAAATATCTCAAGGAGGTAACCATGCAATTACTTTATATTTTATCTCATTCAAATATTAAAAGTCAATTATCCAAATATTTTTACTATAAATATCGAATAAAGAAAATTAATACAGGCTCAAAAATAATGACCAAAAGTAATTTAACATGTTTGAATGAAAACCTCCATATAACAATTATTGACAAGACTTACAGAAAAAAATAATCAAAAAAGAGAGCATATGTTTGAACAACTCAATTTGAAAAAAAAAAAAATACTCTCCTTTAAGAAAAAATGGTTCAACCCAAGTACCAACAATCGGACATTTTATTTATGCAAAACATGTGCAAAGAAAAATAATATGTTTACCCATAAGAGCAACTCCAAGGGGCTAAGTAAAAGGAGGTTTTTGGCTATTTTAGATAGTCAGTTCATAAATGTTGGCTCCAACGGGTTAGGTATCCCACTAGGTATTTTCCATAACCCGATATTTGCTTACTACATCTGGCAACCTCCCCGGCTAGCTACTTCATCAACAAATGTCATTTTTTGCGCCAAAATCCTCACTCCACATAAGCTCCATCATCGCTAAAATCCTCACACTCTTCTCTGCTAAAAAGCACTCTTTCTCTCTCTTGCAGTTAGTGGGTATCTCTTTATTCAGGCTAACAATCCGCATCGAACCCTTTTGATCCCATTTTCTGGAGCTCAAATCAAAGGTGAGTTTATGTTTTTTTGATTCATTAGAAGTTTTTTTTTGTTTTTTGGTCGGATGATTCATCAGAAGGTTGTATCACCATGTTTGCATTTGGGTTCCTATGTATTGATCTGTATGGTCTCTCTCTCTCTCTCTCTCTCTCTCTCTCTCTCTCTCTCAGAATGGGGGAAGACGATGAGTTGATTAAAATCCAGTAACCCCCCAAAAAAAAATCCAGTAAAACTCCTCCAAAAATCCAACAAAACCCTTAAAAAAATTCAAAAATCCATCAAAAAACTCCAAGTATTTTATGATAGTTACTCTTGTAGCCCATCTTTTATGACAGTTACTCTTGTATCTCATAATTGATTAAATTTATACAATGTTTAGTTGAATTGCTATTTTTTGAATTTTATTATTGAAAGTTAGTTGAAGTGGTTAGCTAAAATAGATAGCGTTATTGGAGTGAATTTGAAAAAGTAATTAGCTAAAATAGATAATACAATATTTAAATATATTTTGAGTAGCTATTTTAGATAGCATTGTTAGAATTCCTCTAAGAATGTGTTAATGTTGTTTCATTACTTCTTGAGAGGCAACACTCGTTGCCTTCACCATAGGCATCAATATGTTCTCTATACCTCAGCCCAAGCTTTTCAATATTCTTCTTGATGATCTCAAAGATTTTCTTGATGGGAAGAGATTTGACATGGTAAATTGTCCCTTACATGAAAGATGCTAGTTGCAACTAATTCAATGAGAGGATTAATCTTGTTTGTCTTTGCATGTAATTTTTTTTTTGTTTTATTTTGGGAGGGGGAAGACACTTGTAATGACATGAGACTCAGATCCATTTGGCTCATGTGGGTGCATAATGCCATTCCACTAGACAGTCTCCTTTGTGTGAAACCTTGACATGCATTGTAAGAATTAATGTGGCTCATTTAATTTAACACGTGATTTTACTGATTATTATCAGATAATTAATTTGGATTAGATGATGATAAGGTTACCAATGTTAATCTAACCGGTATAACTAATGATTTCTAATTGGTCAATGAGAAGAAGTGGTTTCTTGATATCCTACTTTGATGGGAAGTAGAGTTTATGTTGAACTAGGGAATCGGTTCTCTCTCCAACTATAAATATGCACATGCCCCATCGAGTTGTGTATCATAAAAATAAAGGTCAGGAGAGAGAAATCGATTTTCGGGCTACACCAAAGAATGGTTCAATTCTTGATCAAGTAATTCAAGATTTGCAATAATGGCTCTAGGTATGTTGATTATGATGTTTTTAATTCTACATTATGATTATTATGAGTATGTGAAAATCTTGATTGTTCTAAATCTTGGAATTAGGGTTTGATTGATTTCTTTGATCAAACAAAGTTTTTATGTGGTATTAGTGTGTGAGTTAAAAACTCTCATGATTTTTCTTTAAAAAAAATAATAATAATTAATGAGCCCGAATTTGACTAGGTCAGGCCCAATAAAAATAAACTAAGAAAGCCCAAAGAAGAGTCCAACTGAACTTGGGTCGACCCATCTGAAGGAAGTCCAAAGCACCAAAGGGACATAAAGAGGAAAATGCCTAAGGGAGTCAAGGGGCCAACGCCCAAGGATCCCCAAAGAGGGCGCCGCCCAAGGGTCCCAATTGGGCGCCGCCCATGCTGGCTCTCTCCTCTCCTTCGACCTTCACTTTCTCTTGCTCCTCTTCACCTTGCTACTCCAATTCGAGTCCAAGCCAAGCCTACTCAAGACAAGTCCAATTCCAAGACGAGGGTCAAGCTCAATCCAACTAATGTTCTCCTTCGGATGAATAGGAGCACGAGGGAAGATAATATGGAGATTGACATAGAAAATCTCCTACCATAACAATACTTGCCAAAACAATAGAATTTTTCTCCCTCACGTCACCGCATCTGCTACCTTACCCTAGTTATATAATGTAAGCCCTCTCAACATTGAGGGCAAGAGCCTCCAAAACCTCTACACCCACTCCTATACACACTGTTCTCTCTTATTCTCTCTCAAAAGCACTTTAACTCTCCGGAGACCATGATTCATCAATAAAAAACACTAGGCCACCGCTGCCGTTCCCGAGAGTGGAGTAGGTCACTCGAATCGAACCACTATAAATTCCTGGGTTGATCTATTATTTACTGTTTTACTCTTAATTGTCATTGATTGCTTGTTTATCACTCATTAATTGCACCCTTACACATACTTGACTATTGATCTTGCACGAAGACAATTTTGTGGATCATCAGTTTGGCGCCGTCTGTGGGTACGACTAGTTTTTCTACTCTTCCAATCCATGGCAATCACTACCAGATCGATGAGTCAACAACCGGGAGACAACAACCCAGCTCATCAGGAGGAGGCTCTGCCTCCCCTCGCACCGTCTAAACCATCTACTACTACGACTCCCGCCAGGCAACAACAATAGCTCCTCCAAACCATGCAGTTGTTGGTGAACCAAAACAAGCAGATCATCCAGCTGATGTTTGCCCAAAGGAGTGTCACCCCTCTCCTTGTAGGAGGAGACCCACTC